TCATCAGCCAAAATTTCAATCATAAATTATGAACGGTTGCTGAAAAATCTTCGTCACCCTTTACCCCATTTTTTTGACCTTTAATAATCAATAAACAAATATTAAAAAAAAATTTCAATTTTTTTAACTTTCTAATAGTATATTATACAATTTGAGAAAAAAAAAACTTTATAAGGTTGAATACAAATTTTTTTACTAATTACCTTAAAATCTAATTGAAGTTTAAAGTTTACTTAAAATTCTTTTAGAACCTATTTTAAATTTTTCTACTGAGTAGTGTTCTTTTTAATAAAATTTTTTCATAAAAAAAGTCCTCGATATTGATTTCAATATGAACTCATTTTTAAATTAATTCTCGGAACGATAAAGTTCTTCTCTGAAAAATTTATTGGATACTTATAAAATATTTCACTAAAGTAGATTGAAATATAAGTGGAGATATTCCATGTGTCATTTTGAACATGAAAAGTAATATTTAGTAAATGTTTAGTTTATAAATATTAGTTTATAATATTTATAAATTTAATTTAATAGTAGAAAATTTAATAGTAGAAACAACTTAATAGTAGTTTGCAATACAAAGTTCTGTTTGCCAATAATACAATCCTTCAACCATACTTTTGTATACAATAAAGTTTTTTGAGTTTCCTGTTATTCGTACTTCTCTATGCAATGTTGCAGTAAGAAAGATAGCTGTGATTAAATGAAAAATAAATTTTCATTAGAACTCTAGTATTTAAAAATGGTTTTGTTTTATAAAGTACGGAAATAATATAAGAGATTTTACTTTCAATAGAAAGGATGTGAAACTTCCATGACAAGTTTTCATCAAGAATTACTCCTAAAATGTTAACAGTAGATTCCCTTTTTACATCTGTTTTATTGAATAAAAGATTTGTCAGTTTAAGTAAAATGTTATGAACTTTATTTGGTTTTTGGAACAGGATAAATTTAGTTTTCTCTACATTTAGCGAAAAGGCGGTTACTTATAAACCATTTGCTTTAGATAATGATTCATTAAAAAATTTTAAAAGAATTGTTATATCTTTGTGTGAATAAAACGGATTGGAATCGTCAGCAAACAGTATAAAATATAATTTTTTAGGTGCTAAAAATAAATCATTTATACGCACTAAAAACAATGGTCCAAAGATAGGTCCTTGGGGAACCTTGTAATTTATAACTTTTTTTTTCTTGGTTCCATTTCTTTTATAGGTTATGCATTGTTTCCTGTTAATCAAGTAGTCTTGTGTAGTGAATAGTAATTTTTTTAGTTTAATCATTTAAGTTACTAATTTTAATAGAAATTTTTAATATCGAAGTTTTTTTCTAATAGATATTGTTTAGATTCTCTTTTGAATTGTTCCAGGGAGAAGCTTAGATGAGTTTTATCTTTAATAATACTTTTAAAAAAACTTTTCCATAAAAATTGTCGATGGTATTGAGTTTGAAATAAACTGAGTTTTAAATAAGATCTTGGAACAACAAAATTATCAGTTAAAAATTTTGTGGGATATTTATGAGTGATTTAGGTAACGCAAGAATGAAATATATTAGGAGATAAACCATGTATTGACGATAAACCATGTATTAACCCTTGTATATATTAGGTTTATAAACATCGAATGCATTAGTTTCCATTAAAAGAGATTCACCATAAACAGTTTTGTTAACACCAAATATAATCCTACATTTTTGTTTGCTGTAGATTTTTTAAGTTTCTTATAATTGGTACTTCCCCATAAAATATTGCAATAGGAAAGATAACTATAAATAAATGAAAAACATATAACTTTTAACGACTCAATATTAAAAAATGGTTTAAGTTTATATAACATAGAGACATTTTTGGAGATTTTGTTTTCAATAGAATTATTTATTATTTATTTTCATCTATAATCACTCCTAGAAAGTCGACAGTTGACTCTCTTTTAATTGTTTTTATCATAAAGAGTTTTCGAAGAGAAAATCTGACATGTAACCTTTTTCCAATATTTTCTAAAATTGGTACTTCATAAAGACTTGTGCTGAAAAAAGTTTCCTACCATCTGAAAATATTTGCATCTGCCATATTTGCTAAAAAGGATGCTTTTATAGTATCCGATATTTTTTTTTTTTTAAGCGTATTTATATATACATATATACATACATATATATATATATATATATATATATATATATATATATATATATATATATATATATATATATATATATATATATAATATTCATATGAATACATATTAGTACTTGTATATATATATATATATACGTATTAGTGCTTGCATATATATATATATATATATATATATATATATATATATATATATATATATAGAGAGAGAGAGAGAGAGAGAGAGAGAGAGAGAGAGAAATCACATTTTAAAACATTTGGTAAAAAAAAGTGATCGACCTCCTTTTTATTACCAAGTTCTAGGTTTCATGCAATTTTACTAATAAAAATCGAGCAAGATTTTTATTTGCTATTCTAAACTGCCTTTTTTTCCTAAAACGAATTCCTTGAAAGTTTTTAAGATACGAACCTAATTTTAAATTAAATTTTTATTTAATAAATAATAAAGACAAACTTGTCATACGATCCAGGACGCAAAAAAAAAAGATAATAAAAGAGTTATTAAATACCCAGAACGAATTATGAACACATCAAAATCTGCAGCTAGAAAAATTTTTTATGGTGCTGCTGCAGGATGACTTCTACCAGTTTTACAAAACAGAAAAACGTGGACTGAAAATGGTCCTAAAATCATCCGCTGCAACCGTTCACGTACAGGATGATTTAACTACTTATTTTTTTATATTTCCAAAAAAAGTCTCCACCTTTTTGCAAAAGAAAACTGATTTTCGCACTTCTCCACTTATATGATTCGTATATGTGCAAATAATACTTTTGTTTTTGTTGTCTTCCTCCAAATGCCAGACTCTTAATGTGACATTTTTTAGACCTCTAGAAGAAAAATGGAAATAATTAATTACAAAAGTTTTAGATTAAAAAAGGCAAAGGCAGTTCAGAAAGATAAATTTACAGGCCTACTAAAACAACGAATAATTGCTTTGAGTGTCAATACTTCTATTAGAGCTGACTGTAATCTGGAATTTATACCCTGAATTCAGACCCTGAACCAGTCCTGAATCATATCTACACAGTGTTGAAAATAATGAATCAGTCAACACATCAGTGGCTGATTCATTTCTATACCATTTACAAGAGATGTGTTTTAGAAAAAAGGTAAAGACATAACGCAGAGACAATAAAAGATATAACGCAGAGACAATAAAAAGCGAGTTCTAGATCTATGACTACCAGCAGCACAGAGAATTTACCAGTAGATGTGCATCTGCCACTACACGATCTTGCTGCAATCTGTCTGGATTTCAACTAATACCAGTAGTGATTCTAAATGTATGAATAACTTTTCTAATTTAAATGAAATATGGGACCAGTAACAACAAAAAGCACATTTTCTGACATTTTTGAAATGTTTACTTAATTAAAATTATTATTATTAAATGTTAATTTGTACATTTTAGTTGTGCCCAAAGTAAATTTAGTATTACGTAACTTTATTTATTATATGATTTTTACATAAAACCCTTTGTTGAAGTAACATAGACCACTAACTGATTTTTTAAAGTTATATGAAGGAAGGTTTCAAAGTTATAAAAAGGAACTTCATAAAGTTATAAGAAGGAAGAATCTTTTTAAATTTATTTGTACTTTTTGGTAATGCCTCTCAATAAAAATATTACTTTTATAAATACAGCTACTTGCCTTGTTAGAATATGCAATACTTTAAAAAATTGGACCAAAGTTACCCCATTTTACGGTATTTAATTTAGAAATACTTCAGATTCTTTAAAAAAGCGGAATATTTGAATTAAAGCGTGTACACAAAATAAATGTGAAAGAGTAAACACGTCATATTTTTCAGTGGTTGTATAAATATACTTTTAATTGAGTTTGTATTATCGTTGGCAACATGTAACAATTTCTAAAAAATGTTTTAGTTTTCCCATTTAACTTAAAATGAGTTTTGACAAAAGAAGAAGACGTTAGAAAAAATACTTTGCACAAATATTTAGAAAGTTCGAATAGAGGCTACAATTCAATAATAAAAAAGTTGCGTGTACATTCCTACCCCGTTAGTCAAGATACTTAACGCTTTTGTCCAAACAAAATTGATCAAACGCAGACCTGGTAATGGAGGAAAGGAGGTTTTTCAAGATATAAAACTATTTAGAAAGCTGATAAACAGTTTTATGAATAACACAATCCTCTAACAAAGGGATCGCGCAAAAAGATAACGATTTTCTCATAGAAAATGAGGATGATGAAGCAAAATGACAAAGGAGTTTAATCTAAAATAGCAAACTCTACGAACTACTCCGATTCGAAAGTTATTGCTAAGTACTAGATAATTAGTAAATGAAAAATAACAAAATAAAAAAAAACTATGAAACGTTAAATATTTGAAAATGTCATCTAAAAAGCATCAAATAGTTTTGATTATTGTTCTGTGCGCAAGTTTATATGTAACACTATAACAAAATTTCATAATTTTATTAGATGCCCACAGTAATAAATTAACTTGCTTTGAAATATTTTATCTTCTTATATTAATGTATCAAAACCAATACCTAGTTCTAAATAAAAGTTGAGAAGTTCCTTTTTTTATTTTTTTTCTACTTCCACACTTATTTCGTGTACACGCTTTAAATGAAATAGATACTTCATATCATCACACCATGCTGCTGTTTCAGTTTTTACCGTTTTTGAAATTCTTTCTGAGCTGTTCGTAGTTCTTTACAAGTTCCTAGATAAACGGTTATTCGATAATGGGTGACATGTTATTTCTTCCAAGTTTTTCATCCGTTACAACGCAAAGGACTCAGTCAAGAATATGAATTTGACAACCAATGAATTGTTGTTCTTTCAGTTTCTTTTCAATAAAACGTCTTTGTAATAGACTATTAGTATTTAC